GCACTCTACCCAGGGGGATAGCTTGAGGCTCTGTCTCAAAAAAAAAAAAAAAAAAGAAAGAAATTTAGCTTTAGATGAATATAAGAGAACCTGATCATTGTATATTGATAAGAAATTATTTTCTGACCTTCTGTATCCAATTTTTATCTTCCTGCTTAACCACTCTAGGAAATTATCTATTTTCCACCCCTAACAATTTATATTAAACGACAAAATTATATAAAATCTTGTTGCAGCCTGGTTAGTGTTTCTAATATACATTGAAAATATGTTACGCTCCAGTGCATTTAGGACCTAAGAAGAGTATGTCGAAGCTGTAATATACTTTATTATAAATATTCATGAGGTAGTCTAGAAATACATTTTTTAATCTTTACATTTTTACCTTTTATGCAATATTTAGTGGAAATCATGACCTATGTGACATGGAAACTGAGTGCATTTCCTGTAAATCAAGTGATTGGAATTGGATGCAATCTGGATTCACAGAGATTACAATACGTTATTACAAAGGTTTTGAAGGCACAGACTTCAGGCAAAGAAGTATGGGTTATTGGTGAGCAGGGAGAAGACAAAGGTAAGACTTGCCATTTCTGTTGATATTGATAAGCTAAATCACCAGTGGTCATGGCAGTCAGATGTATCTGGAGACTCCAGAATTGTGGGCCCTGTTGGCTTTTTTGCACACTTTAGTGCCTTCCATATGACAGGTCCTGGATTGTGAGTAGATTCTTCCTTTGTGTCATCTTCATTGCAATTACTTTTTTGTAAGTTTAAGATTAGACAAGACCCCTTAGTTAGGTTTTCTATTTTTAATTGAATTTCAGAGTCCAGAATTAATTTAAAAGTTTGATTCTCCAGGAAAATAACATAAAATTAAGCCCTTTCCTTTACTCTCCTCTCCCTCCAACTTTGCTTACTTAAATTCTGAATTTCTCCCTAGATACATGCCTTCTGCCTCTCACCTATTTAAACAGAATTTTCACTCTTCATTTATCCTAATTACCTTTTTTACCAGCTACTTTTTCTCTTTCTACCTCAAAAAGCATTCACTTCTTCATATTGAAAGGCTCCTTTTCTTACTTCAAAGATTGCTTTCCCTATTTGACTTGAGAATCTCTTCCTTTACTCCTGTTTCTCCCTTGCTATAAAACCAGGTTGATCAGGTGATAAAAGTGCTGTTGCCCTCGTTCTATTCATTTTTGTTTATTTAAACAAGTATATGATCTATAATAAAGGTAGAGGATATTATTTGATTAAGTGTAAAGTGAGTATCATGGACCTACAGTACTTAGACACTTACAAGTGAGCATTGAACATGGGTTGGAATAACTAGAGAAAATTCTACAAAGGCCACCTTTGAACTGAAATTTGGAAGACTGGATATGATTTGAGTAGATAGCTAAAAGTCAGAAAGATATTCCAGGAATAGGAAATAAGAAATAGGCAGAGACACATAGTTAAGTATGGTGTGTTCATGGGATTAAAAAAAAAAATCTATACTACACAAAATAGAATGTTAAAGTTAAGCAATAAAAAAAAGATCTATACTAGTTGTTACAAAGGGTTTCAACCAGATAAGCCTGATGGAATTCACACTTTGGAGATCCCTTGAATACTTGATGAAAGAGTTGGCAGGGGGCTCAGCACCTATGGCTCAAGTGGCTAAGGTGCCAGCCACATACACCTAAAGGTGGCGGTTCAAATCCAGCCCGTGCCCGCCAAATAACAATGATGGCTGCAACCAAAAAAATAAAAAAAATAGCCAGGCGTTGTGGTGGGCACCTGTGGTCCCAGCTACTTGGGAGGCTGAGGCAGGAAACTCGCTTGAGCCCAGGAGTTGGAGGTTGCTGTGAGCTGTGATGCCATGACACTCTACCCAGGAGGACAGCTTGAGGCTCTGTCTCAAAAAAAAAAAAAAGAGTTGGCAGGGGATTCTCAGGCAGAGGAGAAACATGAGAATATGTTGAAAGGGTAATTTGGGAGAAATTAATCACTACTTCATCATTTGAAGGACATAAGTATTACTTTATTCAGTGTGTAAGTGCTGTGAGGTAGAGTGTGTTGTAGAAAATAATCTCTCTGCTTGTGATGGGGTGATAATTTAATCAGAGAATTAGAGAAAGGCCATGCCCATTAAAAAGATAAATAGATGTCAAACCATACTGCCACAAAGAAAATCATGTTCTCAGAACTGTTATCTTGGAATATAAAGCTTTGTATATGCTTTGATGACATTAAAGCAAACAAAATATTAATAGTGGTGATGTCTGGATTAGAGGTAGCTTTTAAAAATATGTGTTGTAAAGTATAACATATGTAGTATTTACATAATTTTTAAGAAAATTATTTTAATATAGCAGTATTTTAAATCTGTATAAATTTGCCCTGGCTTCCTAGAAATTTCTTTTTCCGGTATTAGAATGAGTCAAGCTATGGAATAAACCCTTAAAAAACTGGGCCTTGTGATTGAGTAGAAATACTTTCTAGGCTCCAAATGCTCCTGGACACTAAACACTAATCCATAGGACCCTAGGTAAAGACAGAAAACAAGAACTTGCAGCAGATAGATTAGTGTAATGAGTATCTAAGGATTTAAACAAACCCAAATAAACCCAAAACCCAACATGGACCAAACCTTCCGGTCCATGTGGATCTCTTGCTTGCCTGGTTATTGCAAATCTCCCAGTTAGTTTGCTCTTTTCAATCTAGTTGACCCTGTAAATGATGTGAAATTAATAGTAATATTAGCCAAAACTCACATAATATTTACTGTATGCTCTTCCACCTCAATTCAATCTTCCTAAATATTTGTCTTTTCAAAATCTTTCAGGAGCTTCCTCTGGCCAGACCATGAAATTTCTTTGCATGGCACTTAGGGAGCTGCAGAATAAAAATGGGATCTTCCTTCTCGATTATGGTTATGGAGGTAACCATAATTAGAAAGCTGGAAGGGACCATCTATTGCTTTTGCTTTAGGGAGCCAGCCAGGAGCCTGTAGCTTGTAGGATGAAAGAATGTCTGGAACCCAGACCTTGTGGCCTCCCAGGCTCTCTTCACAGGGCCCTTTACCCACTATATTTACCTCCCCTATAATCCCTTCCTCCTCTCTGCCATCATATTTAAATTTCATCCTTCAAGATCTAAGTCAAACCCCCCTTTACACAACGAAGGCTTTTCTGATCAGATCTCTCCACAGTGATTTCTTTACTTCTTTAGGGTAAAAGCTATTTAAATCTATATGGTAATTAACTACATATCATCTCATAACATTTCTTCTATCCTTGTACTTCTGCTTGTTCTTGCCCAACCAGATTTTTGTATGTGCACCTTCTCTTTCTTTCTTTTTTTTTTGAGATGGAGCCTCAAGCTATCCCCCTGGGTAGAGTGCCATGGCATCACAGCTCACAGCAACCTTTAACTCCTGGGCTCAAGCGAGTCTCCTGCCTCAGCCTCCCAAGTAGCTGGGACTACAGGCACCCATTTTTTGGTTGCAGCCATCATTGTTTGGTGGGCCCGGGCTGGGGATTCGAACCCGCCACCTTAGGTGTATATGGCTGGCGCCTTAGCCGCTTGAGCCACAGGCGCCAAGCCCACCTTCTCTTTCTTGAAAGAATAAATTATTAAGCTCTTCTTTTAGCTGAAAAATGTGTAACTTTCACATTGAAAAAAATTAAATAGTACCAGAAAAAAGTCTCATTTCTATGCTAGCTGCTCTATCCCTTTCCTCCTCACAGTTACCAGTTTCTTCTATAATCTTCCAGAAATACCATGTGCATAAGCAAACACGTATATGAAAGAGACTTCATACATCATTTTCCACCTTCCCTTTTACTTACCAAAATCACTTGGAAATGATTCCATAATAACATATGTAGATCTCATTCATTCTTTTTAATTGCTGGATATACTGTAATTTATTTAACCAGTCCCTCCAATAAATCAGTTCTTGAGGAATGAATATAAGAACATTTTGAAATATGGTTGTATATTTCAAATCATAAAGAGAAAATAAAGGATGGTGTGACTTGATAAATATGTCCCTCCCCACCAACCTAGTAGATCTGGGTGAAGGAAGAAAACAAATTTTTTTTTTCAGTTTTTTTGGCTGGGGCCAGGTTTAAACCCACCACCACCAGTATCTGGGACTGGTGCCCTGCTCCTTGAGCCACAGGCACCACCCAGAAGAAAATAATTTGATAGCATTTAATTCTGAGCTCTTCAGACACGAACAATTTTAAATCTATCAAAAAGTAGTTCATGCTTGATTAAATGCCTCTTTACCTCAAATGTGGGAATTTATTTTCAGAAACATGAATCGAGCACTTGCTTTGCTGAATAAACACTGTGCTGACTGCTGTTAGAACTACATAGATATTTAAGAATATGATACAGGAAATGACTAAAAGGCGGTATTGACTTATTACAACAGAGGTCCAAGAGAAGCAGAATAAAAGCACAGGGAAGAAATGTGGTAATTCTGTCTGGAGGTCTCACACAGGAACTAGAAATAGATGCAGGAATGTGTGAACTATGATCTTTTAAATACAGTGTTCAGTAATATTTGACATATATAATGCATGTATAAATTTTAAAACATAATTAGACAAATATTCATGAAGTTGCACTAAATCAGGAACATTATCAATACTACTGATGCTATTTCTATACTTCTTCCCACTCTTTCTCCCTGTCTGCCATCTAGAAGTTCCATCAGATCACTTTTTATCCTGCTGTCTACTCTTGTTACAGAGATAATTATCTCCATGGACAGTGAGGTATACTTACTTTGGCCCCGGAACCAAGGAAATGGATCCATAGCTCCCTCTGCTGGTTTCATTGTAGACACCAACTGATTATATTTTCTCTTAAGTGTACACAGAATAGTAATATTAATTATTTGTTATTAAGTACCTACTATGTATGTTAAATGCTTTGCATATGTAATTTAAATTTTACATATACCCTGTGAAGAAAATCGCAGTTTTCCAAATTTAGAGATGAGGAAACTGAAAGCTCAATGAGAGTAAGCAGTTTGCTCAAGATTGCCTATCTAATAAGGGCAGACTTGAGATACCAATGCTGGTCTTACCCCAAATCTGTGTTCTTTCTTGCTGTTACTTAATTTACCTAAAGCATTTAGTGCAGTGTCTGGAACGGAGTAAATATTCAGCAAATGTTTATAGTGATCAGCAAAGATGATGGATAGAAAATTGCCAGAAGGAAATATAAAACTATGCTTTGAAGTAAAGCAACATTAGGATTTAGAAACAGTTATAAGAATAGCAGTTGTGTATGTGAAATTATTCTTTTCAAGTATTTCGGAGACAAATGACAACTACAGCCTGAGGAGGAATCACATAGGATATAAAACCTTTAGGATCTATTGCCTGCTTCCCACCCCAGCTTCATCTTCTGCCATACTACCAAGCATTCTGTGCTAGTCAGATGGTTGACCTGCCATTTCCTGAATGGTTTAGACACTCTAATGCCTCTTTGCTTTAGCACATGCTGCCTCCTTTTCCTGAACACTCATTTACTTGGCTACCTGCTGCTTACTCATCAAGACTGGACTTG